TCTGTATATTGAGAGTTATCAGTTCATTCCCTACAACAGTTTCTAATGTAGTTATATTTTAATTCCTCATAAACCAATTTAATTTTACTTAAAATATTTTCTGAATATATAATCATCTGTCTGATGGTAAGACTTCTTTAAATTACTCTGATTGAGCATGCTTTAGTCCATTAAACTGTTTAGTTTGTCACTCAACACTTACTTAATCTCCATATTGTTATAAATGGTTGACTTGCAAATCTTACAGAATGAATAATTCATGTAGAACTATTAGGATGTGCATATTATCATTTTTATAAATGTTAGGATTTGTAATAGGTGCTAAGAGGATGATGCCAACAGCAGTAGTAGATATAAGTAATCAGCAGTATGTTTTCAAATACAAATTAGAATATATAATAGTAAAGGTGGTAGGAGAAGGATATTTGTTAGGCAGTTGTCTCCCTGTTCTACAGTGTTTTTTTTAATATAAATCTGGATGCATTAGTCATAAGTGGATGGAGGATGACATCAGCTATGCCAGTAATCATAGGATAGTTGCTTTTTTATAAAAATAGATAGCCGGAATTTCTGAGACACAAAATGAGGGAAGAAGACCTGGAGAATTTAACACTTACAGGATATTCTGAATACAAGAGAAACAAGGGGAAATAGTGAGTAACAGTAACCTGTGCGAGAAAACGGGAAAAAAGGAAAAAAATAAAAAACGCTTTCTTGTGAACCTGAAACGAACGCCTTCTCTTCCGAACGAACACTTTATGACAGCAAACGAGCAAAACGGCACCCAAGACTGCTGCTGACAGACGACCAACTGCAACGGCTTTTGTCGCCCAAGAAAAGACACCAAATGACTCGCACGTCGTCTTCTTGTAGTCCTCGGTCGAGTCCATTATGGTACTCCAAGGTGTGCCTGGCGATAACACACACACACACACACAGTTCGAGGACGCTTCCGCGCATGCTCGTTACATAACCTACCTAAATTGATGGCAAAACAAAACTAAGAAGAGGTATGGTATAGAGAAGTTATTTAGATCAACAAAAGACAGAAAACTGTGGCGAGCCATGATAACCTATGTTCTAGAGAGAAGATTAGTAAAGGTGGTAGGAGGATGACATTAACTGTTGTAGGGGATGTAGAGTAGTAGCCCAACTATTGTGTAGTTACCCCACTTACTTTCCTAACAAAAAACATGCCACTAGGGGACGCTTTCAGAACTTATAAATACACTGTAATATCTTCTATCATTCTCATTTTCCTTTTTCACTCAGGGACTGTAAAATGTAAGTTGAACAAGGAAAACACTTTCCCCACTAAAGAATGCACTTGTGCACATGTACCTTTCACTTCATTTTCTATAGGACTTCTACACACATTTTACATGCACAAACAATTCACTACTCTTTAAAAGGTCTCATGCATATTCATTGTTTTGTCATATACATACAATATCATTGTCTTTGTCACTCGCAACAATGTAACTATTGTCTTGTTAATAATACATTATCTTTTATTTGTATATATCTTAGTTTTAGTTGTTTCTCTACAGAAGGATGCTGAAGATACCATGGACTGAACATTTGAGCAGTAACAAAGTTTTATAGAAAATGGAAACAAAAATGAAACTTATACATAATATCAGGACAAGACAGTTGAGGTTTCTAGGGCACATAACGAGGAAGGAGGGCTTGGAAAATCTGATACTCACAGGACAGATTGAAGGCAAGAGAGACAGGGTGAACTTGAATAAATGGATGGCAGAAAAGGGTTTTGAAAAAATAACAGAAAAACAAAATTTATTAAGAGCTATAAACGACAGGAAGTTGTGGAGAGCCATGATTGCCTGTGTCCTGAGGGGACATGGAAACATAAAGAAGAAGAAATATTGGTGTGCTTCCATTGGTGTTTATGGTAGGCTTCATTTTACAAATGTCTGGTTTTGATAATTTGGTTTGGTTTGTTTTACGGCATATCAACAAGTTATTTAATGCTGATAAGATTTTTATTGCTGGTAATATTTTTTTTTTCAAAAATGTATTGCTGGTAATAATTTTTCTTCAAAAATTTATTGCTGGTAATTTTTTACAAAATATTTCTGGTACTAAAACCTATTTTTACACTTTCATAGTGTTTTGACCCCAGTTTGGGGGTTAGCTATTTACCCATAGTTGGGACCCTAAAAGATGCTACCACCCTGGGAACACTAGCAATTAAGAGGTAGTTCCACGCTCCTCAAAACCTCCTGATCAGAGGCCTTGCTGTTTTACGTAGTTTATCGTCTTACCCAGGACGGTTGACAATTTGGTTGTTGGAGTTTATAAGATAGGATCTAATATTGGTTGAATAACATTGATTATTTTATTATTGTTGTTTAAGAAAATTGTTTGACTGGATCCTTTTGTTTTTATTCTGCTCAATGACTTATGTGCTTTCCGGTTGATCACACTGCCTTCCTTACAATCTAGGAATATAGAATAATGGTGCATATTGTTTTGATGGCTGCTGCTGATTGTTGATAGCCTGTTTTGATGGTGAAGGCATTTACTGCTAATCCACTTTAGAGTGAGGGGTGATCTTGCAGCTGAAGTCAAATAAGAGAAAGAAAAGGCCAAAGAAGCTTCACTGTTGTATCAAAATAAAATTTCGTGTATGTTGAAACTCCTCAAGTGATGTGGTTTTTGTTGGTAAAGTTCTTTATTTGTGATTCTCTAGCATCAATCCACATGGTTTGAAGAAGGTTTGTTCTCCCTAAGACCTACAGGATTTACTTGTTTGAAGCCATCATTAACCATCAATCTGAGAAGTGTTTGTATACAACTCACTGTTTAGATATTTCTGAATAAGTTTGACACCATGCATAAAATCCATATGAAAGTCTTGACCTGATGAGGAACACATCAGGAACATGAGTCAAGTTTTTAGGTTGCTTTTTGTAGCAACTTGCAGTGTTTTGCAAAACTATCCCTAGAACAAACTATTCGGTATTCATTTTTCTTATTCCCTAAATTTGTTATGGCACATCCATATACCAAAATATGTTTTGTATTTAAAATTTAAATCCACATCCTACATTTATGTTATGGATTCAGGGTAGGTCCCATCAACTGCTTTCATTCCAATTCCAGATCATGGTTTCTATTGTAGAGGGTGTTGATTTTTTGTTCCAAGTCATTCTTATCCCAAGTATGAATACCTATGTGAGAATCCTTATGTCATGAAAAAGTTCAGAATTTGGATCAACTGGCTTTCGAGTTAGTGTTGTGTTTTTTTAGTCAGAGTATGGTAATGTACGTAATGATCTAAATGGGGCATGTGGAAACTCTTTACTTTCTCTTTTCATAATTTTTTTAAAAACTCAAAATTGTGGGGAGAATAGGGATTTCCAAGTTTGGGAATAATGGGAGAAAATGTTTTGTTTTTGTTTTTTTAAATAATTATTTTATTTTTAATTTATTCATTATTTTAAGTCAAGGTAATAATCATATTATTGTATAATTCTTACAAATATCAATATGGATCCTTAACTTAGAGTAATTTATTTATCTCATAGTGTTTTTTAAGTGGTTTCTTTTTTTCTATGCAGAAACAAAGTTCATGTTGAGTCGACGGCTCTATCGATTGAGCCGCCACTTGTAATTTTTTTCCCATCACCGACTGTTTTTTTTTTCCCCTAAATTTTCAGGCGCAACACACATTAAAAAAAGAAGACATTTTCATCTGTGTCTTTAAATTTTACTTTTCTTTCACCCCCTACACTACATTCAACTTTTTTTTTATACAATTTTATTATAAAATATAAACTTTTGTTTTTATATTTATATTTTTGGGGGCTTGGAATTTAAATTTAAATTCAAAATCGTAATGAGTTAAAAAGGCAAATTTGAATGTTAGTGTTCAATCAACATTCATCAGGTATTTTTTTTACCTAATCTCATATTACGAAAATAGTTTTTTTTTTTTACTCAGTAAGATTTTTTATTTTACTGTAATCATTTTTAACAGATTAAAGATGAAATGTTCTTAGGCGATGAATTAAATAATTGATTAATTTAAAAAGAAGTATATTTTTTTTAATTTTCTTTTCGAGATTAATAATACCAGTATCTATCTTGGTAAGTTTTTTTTTTCCATCCCTAACTACTAGGCATTAAAAAATGAAACAGAATCAAAGACTGTTGATGAAGCAGGAAGCTGCATTGTTTTTTAATTACTTTTTTATTTAAATTAAATGGCAACTATTGCTGTGTAGCGCACAGGACATTTCTTTATTCCTCGAAGTACGAGTCGTCAAAGTTGAATCTTGTAAGAACTTAAAAATGTTTATCTGTTGAAAAAAAAGAAAAGAAATGCTCTATGATAAAATTTATTTATGTTCGCCTATGTAAAAACAAATTTAAATTACACAAAATTTGCGGTTGTGTAGTGTACTGTACTCAACAGATTGTCAATGTCAAAGAGATGAATGAATGTGACTAAGTAAAAAAAAAAAAAAAAAAGAAAGAAAAACTGACGAAAAATCGACTTCACAAGTTCAAGTTGTAAAGAACCACCAATGGCATTGTTACGATAACGGAAAAATTTATCTCTTTTTTTTTTTTTTTCATCATAGATATTTCCATTGAATGAGGTGCACGTGACATTTTATATTTACACACCTTTTATCTTTATTTGTTTTCTTAGCTAAATAAATGAACAAGGGCAACATCTTGGTTTAGGGTCACTGGGTCAAACTTATCGAAAAAAAAAAAAGCGATTTAAAATAATAAGTTCTGTTTAATTGAACGAAAAATATTTATTGCAAATATAATTCTAATTTTTTAAAATAAGTGTATTTTTTGTAGGGGAAAGAATTGTAAAAAAAAATGTATTTCTTTTGTGAAATTAATGGTTCCGGTAAGGTCCTTGCTGTATAAAAGTGGTCGGCCTCTTGTGACGTCACGATGTATTCGTCCTCTGAAGACGAAGGTGTAATCGGCCTGATCCTCGCTCAGATACCACGATGTTGCGATCTGCTGTCGGTAGAATTTGCTTCCATTTGCATAAGGTATTTAATTTCTAAAAAGTTAACCGACTAACACCATTTTCCTATTTGGATCTCGTTGGGTCTTTTAAATTCTGTCAAAGGAAATTTAATTTTTTTTTCTCTCTAACCCATACAAATGTACTTTACAGTTGCTCCAAGACAATGTGTGTGAATGACATTTGGTTTAGGTTAAAAAAGGACGCATTTTTTTTTATGTAATCAATTTTATTTTTCTTCCTTTCATTTTTTAAGAAAATGTTACTTCATGTGAAATAATTCAACGGTTGAATAAACTGTGGAAGTTACAGATTTTAATTATTAAAAATGCTGTCATTATAGTTAAAATCTGACGATGCTTTTTAGCTTTTTTTTTTTTTTTTTTTTTCCCCCCCGAGATGAAAACCGCCAAATCTTTGGATGCTTATTTGCTTAACATTTTTGCTCGTTGATGAAAAAAAAAATGCTTTAAATTTTAATGTGATATTTTGAGCTTACTTCATTTTCTCCACCATTTCTACAAAAAACAACTGAAAATTGTTGCTTATTAAGTTATATTTGCTAAAAAAAATGTTTGTAGCACAATGAAAAATATAGATTTTTTTTTTCCTTTTTTACCTTTGCGTTCAAACTTAACTTTTAGAGGTGAAAGGGCGGAAAAGACCAATTTTTTTTTTATTTATTTATGAAATCAATTTTGATCATAATAGGTCTGTATGTGAATTTCTCTAAGATTCCTTGTTTTTATTTATTTTTCTTGATCTCTTCAGAGAGAGAATAAGGAATGACATTTTTAAACAAGATCATTCTATTTTATTAACAATCTAAGACTTATGTGAGCTTTTTTATTTTTCTTTAAAGCTAAACTTTCATCATTGGATTTTTTTTTTTCTTCAAATAGAAACTGTCTTTGATCAAGATTCTCTAGACACCTGATTTCTAAAGTTGTCCTTCATACATCCTAAATTAAAAATAGGTATGGCTACCTACTCTTTTCTTTTTTTTTTTTTTTTTTTTTTTCAACGTATTTCCACTCAATAAAAAAACAACACTTGTCTCTTTTACTAACTTTTTCTATTTGCATTATTTATTAAAAAAATCATTTCCACTTTTAAGTATTTTTAATTTATTTATGTTTGGCATAATTTTGCTCAAGACAACAAATAAGTATTCAACACCTGAATTTAGTGAAAGAAAATCAATCCAAAAAAAAAAAAATGATCTGCAAGACTTTGCTCATTAACTATTGCTCCACGGCTGGACGCGCTTTTTGTTAAAAGGAGATAATAGGCTTTTTTTAGCCGTTGAAATAATTGAACTCCCAACTTCACTATATATTTTGTATTTTTTCACCATCTATAATTCAAATTGTAATAGTGTAAAGTAAATTTCTTAAAAACACGTTTTTAACCCGATGTTTTTTTTCTTCTTTAATTCACTCCGCTTTTAACTTGTCTCGTGACCGCACGCAACTACCTAAGGATTAAGTTATTTTTCGAGTACTATCATGGCTCTTATCATAATTTGTAGTTATCATGTTACCTAGACTTAGAGTAAAATTAAACTAGTCTGTTTAATTAATCCACTTAATTGCCTAGAGTGTGTGTGTGTGGTGTATATATATATATATATATATATATATATATATATATGATTATTCATAAATAATTATTGCACCTTCTAATCAAGTTTTGGTTATTTTTTTTTTTTTGTATAGTTCTCTACTTTCACTTCTTTGGTTCATAAGTCCCCTGGTTGGTGCTTAAAAGAATTAAGTAGTACTGTAAAACCCTTTGGTGCCTGCGAAATTATTTTATTTTTAAATGAATGGAAAATTGCATCGCTCACATTGTGTAAAATTTCCCTCTTGGCCTATTACTACATTTTTAAATTATTTGGAAGTGAAATTCGCCTGCTTAATACTTGGTCTTTTCAGCGTAAATTTACCTTGGCAATGACGAAGGACATTTTTAAAATAAAAAGTATTGTCTGATGTTCTTTCTTTAACATTTCACGGCTATCCCTACCTACCACCCACGCTTTTCATTTATCAGGTTGTTCTATTATAACTGCTACTAAAAACATAGTAGTCCTCATTCATAATGTATCTTCACACCGTTTCACTATTTTTATCTTTCGTGAGTTTCAACTGATAGCTACACGTTATTCTTGGCAACTGCTCGTATGAAAAAGAACCATGTGCTTATTTAATCGCTAGCAAAACAGTATGTTTTAGTTTAGAAGTCTTTATTTTTTTATTTATTTATTCATGTAGAATAATAAAACAAAGCACTTACTTTTTCTCAAAGTGCGTTTGGTAGTGTAACCTGTCAGATCAGTGTGTCAAATTCTTTTAAAGACTAGCCACCAAGCCAGTTATTTAGGCTTGCTTTCCCGTTTTTACCACGTGGCTTTGTTGAGATATGTCACGTTGCATTATGTTGAATAAAAAAAAAAGTAAACTGATTTTTTTTTTCTTTTTAATGTAGTTTTGAGACACACGTTTTTTTTTGTGTAGTGACAAATAAAAAATACTATTATTTCTGCAATTAAATAGTTAAGTATGAAGAGCTTTTGTTTTAGTTAAAAATGTATACGTGTCAAATTTTGGTTTGGTGTATCGTCGATCACAAAGGTAATTTTTGTGTTTTCTTTAAAATGAAACAAAGAAAAATACCTCTTTCTGATTCGCGTTTTTAATTTTGATCATTCTTTAATGTATGAAAACTTCATTTCTTATCTGTACTGATCAAAATATAATGATGTAAGAAGAGTTTACACAGAAACTTTTAGAAAATGTATAGGAGTCGGTGGTTCATATCAATAGACTTGAATGCGAAAATTTTATTTTAATGAAGTTTGTCCAGACTCCCAAGGTAATTCAACAAGAAATTATAAGATTTGATTTGAATATTGAAACCTTGTTTTTATATTCATTACCAGATTTTTAAGTCAACTCAAAGCTATATTTACTAATCATAAACGGAAAAATCTTAGTACAAATAATCAAACACCAATTTTTTTTTTTTTTTTTTTTTTTATATAGATACCGACATCTATTCATGACATCATCAGAAAATAAGAGAAATAACTATATAGTAAATTTAAAATCAATAAAACATTGGAGAATATTTTCTTAAATTTGTAAGATTACCGGGTACTTAACAACTTAAGTCTTAAAGTTATATAAAAAGCGCTCATGTCAATTTTTCAATTACAGATAGTCCCCATAGAACGACATTAAATGTAATCATGCTGTCAACATCCTAAATAAGCAGCTACTGTCGGGTTAAAAAAAATGCCTTCTACAGTATTTTAAACTTTGAAAAATAATATTCAAATCAGATTATTACTTTAAGTTTAAATCAACTATTCCTCAAATAAAGTTTCAGAAAAGTATTTTATTTTTGGGACTCTTTTTTTTTTTTTTTTTTTTTTAATAAAGAGAATTACATTGCAATATGCAAGCTAAAAATGGCACTAAAATCAAATTTTTTTTTTTTTTTTGTATAGCAACCCCGAAAACGAGAATATCTTTCCAGTCAAATTAAATTAATCTATTGAAATTAAAACGAAGATAAAAGCTTCAAAGACTTTTCATCTTTTTTTAAAATGTATTTTAAACCTTAGGTATCGAATTTGTGGCGGTACCTTTTTTAAACTCCTGGTAATTAGGACACTTAATGCATGATTGCTAATTTTTCCTATTTCATTAAGTTGGTGTTTTGTTGACAGTCTTTTTTATCATATGTTTATGCTACATAGCTTGTTGAAGCTTATTTCCAATGGGTATTGTCTATATATGTAATTTTTAATATTGGCATTGTGCATAATAGGTTTTTTTGTCATTCATATTTCAGCTTTTCCATCAGATGCTTGTTTACTTGGGCTAGTGGCATGGGAAACACTTGATACTCACACACACACACACACACACACACGTGTGTGTGTGTAGTTAGTAGCATTTTTAAAGCTCTTTTCGATTACTAAAAGATATCAAGAATATTACATGTAAAATATATTTTATTCTGATTGGGAGTTTCACATTTTGTTTTAAGCTGAACTCAAGAATCTGCAAATAATTTTTAAAACTATTGATTTTTTTTCTCTTCTATTGAATTGTTTATATTCTCAAGCAATGTCTCAATTTAGATGCTATCAGTAATTGGTGTATCTGACCATGGAGCATCATTAAGAAAGGATAGGGTTGCCAAGAAACCACTTTAAAAATTTTTAAATTTCCGGAAAACATTTTACGTTTTATAAAACAAAAATACTCTAAAATTCTAAATGTTTTATTTTTATTTTATTTTTTTTCCAAAGTTAGAAACAATTTAAAGCATGCTGATATAAATTGTCAAAAAAAAAAAAATAAAATCTGAATGAAATTACATTTTTTAAAAAAAAAAGAAAAAACAATGTTATTACAAAAAATAACAAACTCTTTGGTCAACTAATAGAATCTAAAATAAACACTATCGGATTGACTCTCAGTAACTGATTTCTTGTTCCTCCAATTTTGCACATGTGGTATTCATTCATGCTTTTCTTACTGTCTAGCTGCTTCTCAATGTTTTGCCTGGTAACTATCACATAACCACCATTGCCCCCCCCCCCCCTGGCCTGTGTGTTATGACTTTACAGTTTATCTAAACCACATAGTACAACTAGAGTTACTATTATTTGTACTGTCCTTTTTGCTGCCAATTCTACTGATTTATAATTGAAGTTATTTATATGCAAAAATTGTAAAACAATTACATTTGGAAAGATGATAAATAGACCTTCCTTTTTTTTTTTTTTTTTTTTTTTTTTTGTTAAATGAATAAAATTTTAGAAAGCTATAGAATAGCTCTTATTCATGAATTCATTCTTAAAAACCGGTTGTACTCGTTTTTTAGTTGAAACTTGTTGAATTGGTACATTTGTTGCCAGGAGGTTGCTTTTGTACTGACCCTCTGACAGCTTTTGGGGTTTTTTTTTTTTTTTTGTGAAAGCATATAATTAGCCATCTCTTCTGTGGC